ACTGAAAGGGATTTTAAATCATTATTCCAAACTATATTTTATTTTTCTAAGTAATTTTGGCTTAATATTCAAATATTGTATTTCAAGTCATTAAAGCATTTGCATGCTTTTACCCAGGCACTTAAAATCTACACTAGCACATGAATGAACATTGGGGTATTTATTTCTAAACGATATGAAATATCAATAATTTAATATTTTCAAATAGTCATGCCTAAGTTACAATGTGTATATAATAAATTAAGTTATAATACAGTTTAATGCACGGTTCCAATAAAACTCATGTATAAAAAATGATGAATGTTTTGGGCTGGGCATTAAGACTATAATCAAATGAACAATGAGATCGTGAAGCTTCATAGCACCAAGATTAAGTACTGGTGTACCATTGTTTCTTAACACAAATAATTGACAATCACTCGATTATCACTGAAGCGCTCTATTTTCAAATATTGCAAGAGCTAGTGAGACCTTACAAAATTCACTTAACTATACTTAGTCATTAATTTAATAATTTTAAAAATAAACAAAAGTTAAAATTGACTAAGTTTTCAGGTCATATGATGAAAGTATTCCTATTTAGAAAACCTACAGAATATTTTTCTGTCAGCTCTCCTGTCTTTTGGCTTTTCTTTCTGCAATAGATTTAATAACAGAACCTGTTTCTTTGAGCAAAGAGTCAAATATCGCATCAGAAAGTTGCATTTTTACAGATAATTCATCAGCATCATAATTTACCCATTCAGTCTCTTCAGTTCGTAATTCTTGCACTAATATCCTGTCGACATGATCTTTTTTCTTTTTACCCGCCCATTTGGCAATGCGTTTCTTTTTCGTTTTTCCGACTAAACCTAGCGATTGTAAGAGTTCATTCTCCACAAGAGGACGTAATTCACTGAGCATTGTGGGAGTTGTTCTCCCTTTGAAATATTGTTTTCTGATTGGCTTAGGTTTCATCCATGCTGCATATTCCTCTTCCTCCTCATCCTCGTCCTGATAAATATCGACCATTAACTCTCCAACCAAATCGAACACCAGCTGTTTATACACTCGTTTACTGTTCGCTTCCATATCAGTACCTTTTTCCGATTTAGTGAAATATTCTGGCGGAGCTTGAACACCTTTCAGAGACTCGCCATATCTCCTTTGAGTCCAATATACATCCAGAGCATCTGAGATTAACTCTTTCACTTCTGGTTGCTTATGAGGAACAGCATAAAATAGTTCTTCAGATAATTTTTGTAAGTTGAGCTTGTTTAACTCCTGCCTGGCCACAGAGGCTCCTAAAATAGTAAGAGCAAATATGCACATTTTAAACTTTTTTCTTAACTCTTTCCTCCATGTAATACCATGTCTTTCCAGTGTTATAATAAAATACTGTCTATGTCTTTTTAACTCTCCCATTTAAATACTATTCTCATTGAGGTTCAGATTGATTGTTAGGGTAATTATTAGACTATCAGTCGTCTGATACAGTAATGTTGTCAAACAAATTCAATTGGATTATAATAAATATCTTGAAGCTTAATAAGTTTGAAATCAAACAAATTTACAAAGAAATGATCAAAGAAAATACTTGTACAGTATTCAATATTCCAGGAAAAGGAACTTTTTTTCAGAGAACTATGTACATGCTTTATTTTTTCTATCTGCTATGTGTTCACACCAGATTCTACTGACATTTTACAATAAGGCTATTGCCATTTTCAGACACAGAATTAATATACCTTTATCATCACTAGGCGGGCCAGGGTAGGGAGGGGGAGGCTTGTTGGGGATCTTACGTTTCCCAAGTCCAAAGTCATCATCAAACCATTCTTCCTGGTCATCTCCAAACACCAGAGTGTCAACAAGATCATTAAATTCTCCCTGGAAAAGCAACAGTGTGATTCAATTTATATTAGTACTTTTTACATACCAGTTATTTCAACATAAAATATGATAGACACCCATATTTCTTTTTTATATAATGCTCCATATAATTCACAGTAATAAATATTTTACAGTAATTTTTACTTAATCCACAGTTCCTAATTAATTTCATGTGAAATTTTGTCTAAATATTAATCACAATGTTTTATATTAGCCAGAGCAATATCTATTGATCAAGTCATATTTAAAAAAATCCTTCAAAAATCGTTATTTTTGACCGAGTCATCTTTTGTATTTTAATGTATTTCATACACAAAATAAATGCATACCTGTGTAATAGAGGCAGATTCTCCAAATATAGGTGAGACTGGCCTTGCAATAGATGGCGCCCCTGTATCATCCTTACTGCCCTCTATAGTGACTCTTTCCCGGAATAAATCATCTGTTAACTCCTTTGAGTCGTACTTTGGTGGAGGCATACGTTCATCGGGAGTAACAGGAGTATGAGGGGGACTCCCTACACTGGACAGTGGAGAAGTTGGAGTGACATCTAGACTTGACCCAGAAATCGAACCAGGGGTAATCGGGGAGGATGGTAAAGCTTTGGGGCGTGATGGTGAAACAGGTGGCGATAAAACAGAAGGGAAGTTCTCGCCTTTCAGTACAGTACTTTGAGGTATTCGAGTTTTCTGTTGTGTAACTTGTTCTAGTTTTGTTGCCTGTTTTTCACGCTGCTTTTTTCTGATGCTGATCATCTGACTGATGGCCTCATCAAGTAGGTTATTCACAACAGAGTTAGCACTCCTCTCCATTCCTTCTTTCTTTTTATCCCCAACAGGAACATCTTTCTCTTTGATGTCATCAATTTGCTCCAAACTAGGCCCTTCTTCAAAGCTGATAGATTGATCCAAGGTATCGAGATCTCTTGTAAGAAGATCCAATAATGGTGTATGATGTTTTGCTTTTCTTACTGATGATACGTCACTTGTCTCTTCAGAATAACTATCTTTAGCCTCTGATTGCACCATCGTATCTTGCTTAACAATTATCTCTGTTATTGTTTCAAATGAGTCTTTAATGATCATTTCAGTAAGCTTATCGGTGATAGTCTCAACAAGTTGATCCTTTTTCATAAGCTCATTCTGCTCTTGCTCAACCTTAACTTCAGATTCGTCTTTAAGTTCATATGTTTTGTTTAAGTCGGTAAGCTCAGGAGATTTTTCACTATCTCCTTGTTCAGTGACTGTGTGATCAGATACTGATATTTCACTTACAATAGATTCAGATATGCTTCCATCATTTGGTTTCACATAGTCGCCTGGTAGTTTGCAGATCTCATCAGGTGTTGCAAATGTACCATAGTCTTGGTTACACTCGAAGTATTCTATACCTTTAATGGTACCATCTGTATCACCTACTGATGTATCTAATGACACACCAGCCCAATATCCAGCAGAGGATATCAGTGTACCTTTGTACATTAAGGTCCCAGGGTGGGTGTCATTATACAACACTCTGTCTCCGATGTTAAACTCACTGAGGGGGTCAATAGGGGTACTGGTACTTCTTGGTTCATCCTTCTGAGACCAGCGTGGAGATTGCTCAGGACTTTTGTTAATATCCTCCTGTGTGGCATTAAGATTTGGAGTCTCATCTGCTTTAAGGGTGTCATCTTTCAGGGTAGTATCAAAGAATAATCCCTGTTGCGCTTTTTCACTTAAATCACTTGCTAAAGATAACTGTTCACTGATATCCTCCTCACTGATTATACTCTCAACCAGGCTCCCACTTCTATCATCTCTCACATCCGATTCCTTCGTGTCATTAGCACTTGGTTTGATGTCCTTGGCTTCAGAATGTTTGGCACTTTTCTCAGATATAAAACTACTTGATGAGGAGTCAGAGAAATCATCTGAGTATTTGTCAGATTTTTCACTCAGACTTCTTGTTCTTGTTTTAGATTCGGTACTTGTGTATGAGTAATCTGATTTGTCACTTTTGTAGGATTTGTCACTCTTGTAAGATCTGTCACTCTTGTAAGATTTGTCACTTTTATAGGAAATATCTGACTTTTGGCTTGTGTCATCTTTTTGGCTTTGTATTTCTGATTCTACATGTTCAGAGATTTCTGATTGCGCTGTCAAAGATCTGGCTGATAATTTACCAACGATTTCTGGTGATTTTTCTTTTGTTTCTTCATGAACAGAATGCTCTGAAACAAAAGATTCAGAGTATTCTGAGATATCTTCTATGATAGATTTTGCTTCTGAACGGGCTGATCCCAAGTTGGACCTTGAACTTTTGACCTCTGACCTTGCTGTTATATCCTCAGGGATGTCTGGTATATCAGTTGTAGATCTCGCAGATTGAGGAATTTGTATTTTAAGATCTTGTTTTGACGTTTCAGTTCTGCCTGTAACAACTTCAGACTCTTCAAGTATTTCTGTATAAGATCTTTGGGAATCTGGAACCTGAATATCAAGTTCTGATTTCTCAGATTCTGACCTTGAAGACTTGACCTCTGACCTTGCAGTGATGTCTTCTGGGATTTCAGTGTATGATCTGGCTGTATCAGGAATATGAATACTTGTATCAGTCTCCTGTCTAGATTTAGGTCTGACTGTGATACCAGATGGAACATCAGAAGGCTGATATGAAATTTCCTCAGGGATGTCGTTATCTGATTTAGCACTAAGTGGCGGCATATCAGTGTCTGGTCTTTCAAAGACGCTATTGTCAGATTTATCTGATTTGATACTCTCGCTTCTTTGGAAGGATTCAGAATAGGAAGGGAAATCTGTGGATTTATTGTTGAGGTCCCTGGGGGAGGGAGAGATTGGAAGCTGAGGGGATGAGGGGAGGGTCTGCTCCAGGCTCTCGTGTATGCTCTCTAGCGAGGGACGTCTATTTGCAGTGGAACTATCAACACGTATTGGTGATACAATCTGTCTGCCAGTGTCTGTAACATACAATGAAGCATTTACTATAATGTGAGATATTATTTCAATATGAGAACCTTTATGAGAAATTTTCAAACATCTAAAATGGATATCATCCTAATATGTTAAGCTAATATCATAACTGCATAACTTACCATCTAGGGTAGGAGACATGAGCTGTGTGGGACTGTATGTAGTACTATTGGACTCAGATCCATCTTTGTCCTCAAAACTAGAACTTGATTTACTGCTTTCCGACTCACTTCGTTGCTTGTCGAATGTATCAGCCTTCTTTTCAACTAAATCTGCCTTTTCAAGCTTTTTCGGTTTCAGTTTCTGGGATAAGGTTGTGGGAGATTTTGAATCGGGAAGTTTCAATGAAGTCACCTCATGTTGTTTTCGGAGTCGTTTGGATTCTGCAACTCGTGGCTGTTTGATTTGTGGTTTAACTGCTTTCTTTGGTTCAATATCAACTTCAGACTGTATTTCTACAGTTACTTGATTGATGTAGCTGTCATAAGCCTGGAAGAAATTAACATTATATTTCCTAATGTAAAGAAATTTAAGTTAAATTAAAATTATTTTTTACCTCATATCTCAAGTCCACAAAAGGACATGAGGACTTGAGATGACAGGTGAAATAGGCACTATGTATAATAGACAGAAAATTATCGCAGATATTACCCAATATGAAGAGTAGTTTTAATTTGTACCAACAATGTTGGCAAATGGACAGACAGACCAATGATTGGACATCTTGTCCATCCCATAGGCTTAATATCTAGTATGTAAGTAAAAAATAGCTAGAGGAATGCTCACATAATTCCAAATCATTATTAATAAGGCAACAAAATGATACCATGATGCAATTACAACAAGGCAACAACAAGCAAAATGTTACCACCTGCCATTTGTTACAGCAACGGACAACACCAACCACCGAACACCATCCACAAAAAAAAAGTTGCAGACTATAATAATATGTCACCACTTCTGGTGGTAACATAAAAATGTAATAATTGCTACAGATGCCAAACACCAGTCACAAAAAGTGGAAACTATGACAAAACATCACCACTAGCGTTTTTAATATTAAAAAATATAATGACCTCTATTTGTTTCTTCAATGATGCTTCCTGTTGCTTCAGCCTTTCCTTGTGCTTCTTTTTCTGATCTCTCTTCAGTTTTTCTGCTTCGATTTTCCTACGCTTCAGTTCCTCATTCAGTGCCCTAACTCTTCCTTCTATGTCACTTTGGTCAGAGGCTGTTTCTAGAATGTGGTTTAATAACATGAATTCAGAACAATTCATTTAAGTTCAGTTTATGTGTGGGCTTTTGTAGATAATATCATTATCGTTTTAGAATATTTGTTCTGATAAAGTAGAGTGAGTAATGGTTTTTATATGTGTAGGTCAGTCAGTTAATATATATTCATATGTAAAAAATGATATATTGAAATTAGGGAATGTAGAAAAATATATATTTAAGATAGAAAAGCACATAATATACTAATTACAGTGGGGGACGGCTGTTTGACATAAATTGATTAAAAAATACAAAGAAATTAGGTAAAATACATTGAATAGAAGATGTTCACCAGTTCATACATAACAGAATAGCCTCTTGAAATGACAAATAGAATGGCAAAATCCAAGACTTTCAATGGTAATGAATATAAACTTCAATTAATTAATTACTTTATGACGCAAATCAATTTATCTTAAGTAATATTTTGAAGAGGTGGGAGCAACTCAAAAATATTATTATCACATTCATTTCATATCATAAATCATTATATTGATAATTTCCCCAAGGACATTAATAAACGCATACAAATGCAGAATATGAAAGATGGTATATACTGATAAACTCCAGATGATACATTATTGAATACTCTTTGTACACCCATTGGTTAGTAATGCTACACTCTGACTATTACAGACAAGTTTACAGTTTAGATAAGATTTTATGCAAATGAAAGCAGCTTTCATAGCTTTATATGAGATGTTAAAATGAATGCTTTTAGACAGAAAATGTATTGTCAACATATTCTAGCTTAATCTACTGATTGGATATAGGCAAAATCAAAGAGTTGTCTTTAATTTTAGAGTAAAGACAAAGCTGAGCTCTTGGACAGAGTAATAACTGGAAATTTATAATCAGATCTGTTTGTGATCCATACTGTATCATTTTACAGAAAGCACAGAATAAGAGTAAAGATTTGCACAAATAGAACATTTCATTTTCTAAATATTTCTACTTACCACTCTGAGTGTATGAAAATGAATCTTCTGATTCGCTGCCTGACTCTATCCGCTTATTCTGGAAGAGAGCCCTGGCTGCCTTGGGGGACCTGGGGGAGAGGTTTGTGTCCCTAGAGAGAAGGCTGCTACACGACACCTTTGAAGGAGGCGTTGATTTGGTATGTGTGTTACTGTTTGAAGAGTCAAAGTCATTGGAATATTCATGTCCTGTTTCATCGCTAACTGATTCAGTAGTCCTGAAAGTAAAAAATTTTAAAAACACATATTGATTGCACAAGATCATCTAAATATAATAAAAGGTTAATATTAAACTGATTACGGCATATGTTGAAATTGCACTGAACAAAAATAAAAACATTATATCTATGTGCATATCTACATGTACCAATTGAACACATTCTAATATCTACACATTATTATCAAATACAAGTGGAAGACTACAGATAAGAGGACCTTCCTGAAAAGGAATCCACTGCTATAAATAACAGCTATAGCACAAAAGCAATTTGTCATATTAAACTCCAGAGAATCTGAAAACTCCTCAATTGCAAGGGTGATGACTTACAAAAAGATTACTCTCTAGTCTGGTATATTTCATTTCATTCCTCTCTAAAATTTGAAAAAGTATTTGTTTTCCAGCAACCTATACAATTTTAATGTTCACTACATGCCTGTTTAATTTATTCCTTGCTTTTCCACTTTATTTAATATTTCAAAACATGAAATTCTCTCATTTCACAAGTGCAAACAGTATCTATCAAGTTTCAGGATCAACTTGAGTTCTATATTTATTGTGACTAGAACATTGAGGAATGTGAAGTTGTTGAATGTAAGTACATGATAAAAGTTAAACAAATATTGGTATTGATAAGTGTCATTGAAGATGTTTTTCATGTGTTAGAACATTTAAAGATGTCACCTCAGATAGTTTATTTGAAATGGGGTATTCAGATGATTTATGGCAAATATACAACTGCCTTCTATTTGCCAATAAGACCCTCAATAAACAGAATGAAATCTTCTGTCAAATATTAAACAATAAATCATAGAAACTTGATTTTTGTTACTTTTTAAATGTACTTATTCAGACCTCATTTAAGATCAAATGACCCAATTAAGTATCAGACATATTCATAATAAAAGTAAACTGCAAATGTATTTCAACCAGACCATTGGGGGCAGATTTATGCATTTAATGGTGCAGATTCTTTTACCTTGAAAGGGCCACATTTAGCAGTTATGTCCCTATCATTGAATATATGCCTAAGGTCTGTCACCAATATAGCCCGAGCTTGCGAGGGTTATATTACGACAGACCGAAGGCATATATTCAATGATACGGACATAACTGTTGTATTACATACTTTTATATCATGGCTACGTTATATCAATGACGCAACGTGTCTGTGTGCGAGTGAAATTAGGAAGAAATGAAACATGACGTTCCGATGACGTCATAAGATTTTCATGGTAAAAGGTTTGGCGGCTATACAGGAATATATAGCCGACCTTCAGCTCCATTGACTTCAATACAAATGCTTCGTTGGGTATGTAATACAACACTAAACTCACTTGCTGCTGCGGTCAGATTTTCTACTGTCAGGACCACTGGAGCGTGATTGGGATGCGATATCCTCTGGAACTGAACTGTCACTGATGCTCTCTCTCTTTGGAAACTTCTCTGATGTTGATGGTAGATCCTCCGCAATAGAGCTTTCACTTCCACTTCTGGAATGCAATGATTAATGAATGATTCAGAATATAATCATTCAAATATTTTATAATGGGGCTTAAGAAAATTAATAAATCATTTGAATTAGGGCAGTATCATTTTTACCTTTGATGAGTCTTCACTGATTTTGATTGGGTAAGAATATCTTCAGCAATAGAGCTTTCACTGCCACTACTTCTTGGGGCCTTTCTTGTGTCATTTGTAGCTCTGGAGGATGACTCTTCCTGGATGGAGCTCTCGGAACCATCAGGAAGGACACTATAAGAGGAAGCCTTAGTTGGAGATTTATCCTCAACCTTCGCTGCAATTTTTGGAGTCGGACGTTCAGTTTTAGATGTTGAGACAGGTTCAGCTGAAATAAAGTAAACGAGGTACAAGGTGAAAAAGATTGTATCAAAAATGGCCACCTTAAAATCTATCCAGCATAAGTTACTCAATTCTAAATTTTCATACCAAAAACACTGTCTATGACAACAATGAATCTTACTTTTTTTCTCCTCATTTTTCTCTTTATCAGCATCCTTCTTCCAAACTTTCAGCGCTTCCTTCTCCAAATTGTATATACTGTCCTCTTCTTTGTCCAGTCTCTTTTTCCATTCTATTAACTGCTCTGCTTGCTTACGTCTCTCTGCAAGCTTCTGTTCTTTCTTGGTGAGATACCTAAAAAAAAGGTACAAATAATCTATTAACATCAAAAGTGGTAATTTGGCAGTTATATAATTATGTAAATCGATTATTTGACAGGTAAATTATGAATTTAATTTTTACCTAAATGCCACAGAAACCATGTTCATTTTTTCAAGACCCCCAGTGAACTTTCGCCCAGAGTACTATTTTACACTGAACGAATGTTGATCCCCGGGGATATTTCATATATCTCTTACATTAAAATTAATTTATAAAATAAATATACAATTATTTGACAAGTAAATCATGAACTTAATTTTTACCTACATGCCACAGACACCATGTTGTAAACATTGTTATATTATCAAATTCCAGAATTAATATTTAAGTTAAACCATAAGGGAGACAGCTTTTTGATCCAAAATGCTTCCCTAAATTTATATGTGTACAGTGTGTTCTTCTAATAGTTTAAATATTGAAAGTCTGATTTAAAAATGCAATGCTTTCATTTAAGCAAGAGATTCATTCAGATTTGCCTAAAAATGAAGTAGGTAAAGGAGAACCCGTGTTCACAAGTGGCAATATTTCCCACATACCTTTCATCTAGTTTGAGTCCTTTCAGTTTCTGTAAATTTGTTCTGTCAGCTCTGGATGAGGGGGACTTCTTTTTACTGTTACCTAAGTCTCCATAGATCTCAGAATCAGATTTGGAGTCTGCAATGAAACAACATGATTCAAATATGTTAATAGAAACATAACATAACAAGGTGAACTAGACAATGTCCACTCAATAGCACATCCCAAAGAATCAATCAAGCAGCAGATACACAAATATGCAGCTATTTTAAAAGGAATGGGTATATTTCAATTGCTTTTCAATTTTCAGAAATTAACAAATACAATCTTCTTTACTATCAGAGCTACAATGCCCAAAGGAAAACCATTTTGCTGTCTTTGGCTTCCCCATTTTTAATTAAGCACAATATGCCATTTCTTTATTTGACATCATCAATATATAACTGTTTATAATTTTGCAATGGACAATTGAGGTTTATCAAATGATCCAAGACAACTCACCCTGCCTGGCTAGTATAGGACTGAACAGATCCTCCCTTGATGTGACATCATCAAACTGAAATGTAATGAAATATTTCAATCTTAAGAACTAAGAAGTTACCTCAAAGGTTCGGCATTAAATCCTACACATACTAGTAAGTAGTAATCCATTTCTTTGACTGCTTGACCACCCACAAGTCACCACCCTTGATAATGAAACAAACTTTGAGAATCGATTCCATATAACTGACTATGTATAGAATTTAATGTGGAATGTATAAGAAGGCACCTAACACATCTACTCAGAAAACAGAAACACTCATTGTGCATAATATTTCACAACTTTTCAATTCACTAAATTCATAGTTCTGACTTTTACTTCTTTCATATTTTTCCCATAAAATGCGCTCAAAGAAAAAATTGGCATTTTCACTCCATGTCAGTCAACATCACAACAAAGCAATAAGTGCAAAATAATACAAATGTACAAGTATATTCATTGAAGTAGTTTATAAGATACCAGTTCTTCAACTCGACAATGGGAAGAACTGCTCTACCTTAGTGACTAATATGTCATTATATGACATCTAAAGAGTCAATAAAAGATATATACAAAATGTGATCATTTCAAACCTTCAATATAAGCCATGCTAAAACACTGAGCTAATACCTTGATGAAATCTGGCACGATTTAATCCATTATTGAAGCCATCTTGTAAATAACAATCATGAGGTTGTTTCTGATTTCTGAGCAATAAAGTAGTTTAGATTGCAATTTACTGCATACGAGGGATGAGAGAGCAACCCACACTTTGGGAATGAGAAGCTTAAAGAAATATGCTTGATAAGCATCAATGCTACATACATTGCTCTAATTAATATTTGAGAAAATGAAAACATATATTTGAGTAATGTGATGGTGATGTAATAATGAAAGCTCAATGAATGCAAAAGCTAGGATCTGTCTGACACACAAGTGCAACCCTCCAAATTTTCTTCAAAAATGCAGTCAAAAATATTTGAATTTTGTTATCGTATTCTTTCTATTTTCAGTATTTGGTCCAATTGTTGATTTTCAAAATTGCATGAACTGCAAATTTTCAAAATCTCAATGGCATTTCTTGGAATTCTAAAATTCCTTGACTAAGCCAACCATGTATGTAAAGCAATCAATAATTTTGATATAATTTAATGATCTCTGATGTTGACACTTGTGGGCCAGACCCCCAGGCAAGCTTACATGCTCCTGTTCAAAAGCAGACATCCCATCATCAGTGGCGGCCTCTATTGGCTGTTTTCCACCCTTTAGTTTCTCCCGAACCTGAATGAAGCAAACACTGCAATGTTATTCAATGAAGAGGAGGGAGAGCAGTTTAATGAAGCAGTCAATGGCCAACATGTAATCTTGTCAAGCTAAAATTGCATGCATTTTGGACAATCTCCAAGTATTTGATGTATTATTTGCTGTAAATTTCTTCTTCAACAATCTACAATCCATCTTATATTTATCCATTTTAAAAATGCAACAAGAGGGAAAATAAGACACATTGGCAAACACATTTTATAAGTTCTTTGTTATACCATTCTGAATACTCCGCATCACATGAGGACATATTAATGAAGCATTTTCTCAGTGAAACACATAAAATTCCATTTTGAATAAATTTTGTTTCAAGTTTTTCTAAATTTTTAAAATCTTAAATTGTCTACGTTATATACATGTGTATTTGCATATGATACCATACCGTTTAACATTACATAGTAAGGAAATGTGATAACTATATGCAAGCTGTGTAGTGAAGGAAAATGAAGCTGATTTAGTCATAGCTATAGTAAAGGGAACGCTTCCAGTAATGTACTATTCCTTTTTAATGTGATGATAAAAGCATATCCTCTGTTGAACATTCATGCAAAGTTCCAAAACACAATCTTTCAATACAAACAATTAACTAATGTTCCCAGATAATTGTTCACAATACATAAAATATCATTAATGTAATACATTTTGTCACAGGCTTGTAGCAAAGCATGATTGTTGGAAATATTTCTGCTATTAATATTATGGTTATGTAAAATTGAAGATACAAGTGAAAAAATGTTCCCTAAATCATACACTATAGGTGATCTCCACTTTTCCTACTTCAAAATAGTCTTGCATCTGAAAATTATATTGTCATTGGCAAGCTTGTATCTTGATATACATTAATCGAATAAATTGACCAGGCTATATATGAAAATGTCAACAACATGAAATATGAAAAAGGCAGGATGTAATTACAGGCGGTGTCTACAGCACATTAAGCCATACATGCAAAAGCCAAGCAAGGGATGATAGTAAGTCTCTCAACAAAGAAATTGGGGAGAAACCGTATTAATCCCATCCCCAGAAGTGCTACCCAACAATGCTTAATAAGAGTTAATTAGGTATGGATATACAAAATGAATGTTTGAAATATTAAACTGCAACTACCCTGTTGCTCCCTGATGTCAAATATGTAAGCCGCGGTGTAACCCCTAGCAATGAGATGACTGAAAGGCAATAAAGTGCTGCAGAAGGCAAGGCTAGATCAGCTACAAAGTACCTTAAAGAAAGACCTAAGGGCAATTTCACTGGTAAGAGTAGACTGAGATTTCACCCAGTGAAAAAGCAACTTTTCTTGCAATACTTTGTCCTGCAATGTAAAGAAACGAACCTAGAAAGGAAAGATGGTATATTTCCTCAAGAGTAAGAAGGCATTTAGAATAAAGATTTCTCTATTTTAATTGTGAAGAATAGATCTGTATTGTGTAGTTTAGTAGTTATGTTGTTATGTCGCACATGGTCTATAGATGTGTCAATTGTAGTATATATGTAGGTCTAGAAAGTTAATATGGAATTGTTTGTGTAGAACATCAGATTGTCTAATCTGAAATTATAGATTTGTCTAGTATGTGGAATGTAGTCTTCAATAATGTAATTGTATGTGAATACAGATTTGTTGATATGTTACAGATATAGATCCCAAGCCCAAGGGTCTCTTGCAGCGTCTAAGTGGTTATAAAGCATATAACAACATAAACAGACAATAAAAGAATAGAAAATTAAGGCATTTAGTTATTGTAAAATACTACACAGAGAGATAGAGGGGATACAAATTCAATGTTGTTAGTTATGTTTTCTATCAAGTTTAAAGCCTACACATTGTTAAATATGTACATGTACAAAGATAAATGAAGATTTAGAGAAAACTGACCGACCTGTTGGGCAGAGAGTCTCATTTTGGCGATCTCTTGCGATTGTTTAAAGAGCAGTTGACGCTCCTTGCTGGCAGCCTTGTTAGCTTCCTGTAATCGCTTGATTTCAGCCTGAAACATAAAACATACAAAGGTTACTTAAATACATAGAATTAACTACCCCAATTTAAAGAGCAAAAATACCGTGGCATTGGAATGGGAAAAACAGGAATGTATTCCCTCTTACGAACATATAAAACCAACAAGCTCTCATTGACCAATCAAAATAAAGTATTTTAATATCAAGACTAATAATATTCTATATCTCACCTGTTCCTGCTGTAGCCTTAGCAACAAGCCACGCTGTTTCTTCCTGATCTGTGGGTAGGCATCATCAGCACCTTTGTCACGTACACGTTTCTTTTGTTGTTCTAACCAGGACATCTCTGCCTTTGTCTTTTCCCTTAATGCCTTTTCTCTCAATTTCAACAGTGAGGCCTATATGAAATAAATAAACATTTTATATCTGGGCATCCATGATTGTTTTAAAATGAAATGGTACCTTTCTATGGGATCATATAGTGAAAAAAATTTCACTCATTCTAGATTCTGACTTTTCTCTGATTCTAAAATTCCCATTTTAGTCATTATGATTAATGATTTTAAAATTAAAAAAAAGAAATTGGATTTCCCCAACTTTTAAATACATGTACCTGATGTTTAGCTCTAATCTCTTCTTCCCTCATGTATTGTTGGACCATCTGTGTGGTGAACCTATTGAAGGAGTCTTCTCCTGTAAATGGTGAACTCAGCTCATCTAGGCTCCATTTGGAACTGGCTGCAATTACAAGAGGGCTCTACCGTGAATATTGAATTTAAGGCTTTTATAACAGAGAACTTATATTAGTTAATTTACTTGTTACTTGTTTCTTTACTTGCGTTTCAGTAGGGTTTCCAAAAGGATTTCTTCTAGATAAATGTGTCAGATCAGAAAATCTCTGATTTAAAAACACCACTTATTTTTTGAATTTCACGAGCTTCTACATTTAAAAATACTAGAAAAAGTGTTGGGAATTTACCCTGCGTGTAGAGTCTAGTTAAACTACACTCTGCCTAGTAGAGACCATATTACAGTTTAGCAGCCCCGCCCCCACTACGGGTACCGGTGACAATGTGGGTAAATCACTTTTGACCTACGCGCTGACGCCAAATGCGTTCTAATTAAATATGCGCATGTCATTGGTCAATTCCGGGCTCAACGATGAAGTGAGAAGGAATGACCATATAAAGAACGTCGGTCAAATTTGGCCGCTGAACACTGATTGGCGCGGTGAGTTCACAGGTTAATTTTAGTTTGAAAGAGTGAAGACGAAGCTCTCTTTTAAGAAGTGAAGTCAAACGGATGCAAAGGGTATTGGGAATTTTGCATTTTACCCAATTACTTCAAAGGAAAGATGTGCATACTATTAATTTTATTTTTAATAATGAGAAGATCTCTGTATTTTTATTTCAAAATATGAAGATAACAGCATTTGTTTAGTAGATACCTAGACAGATATATCGATACCAAAGTTCATTTTATTTTTATGGCATAAAAATGACCATGCACTTAATCTCAGTTCACTTCTAGAAAAATCAACAAACGTGATCATAATGGTCAAGCATTTAGTAAGTTTTATACACTGTACGTGAATCATATAAAGTCTTAATTTAGGACCCTAGATGATAAATCAACGAAAGGTCCTTGCTATGACAGATGTAAATTGAATAGTCAACATCGTAAGATAACTTCATAGACATATGCAGTAAAACACACATGCAGTGTAAGTACTAGTGTGTTACTAATCTTTAGACATGGACAGGAAAAGGAAACTATATCACAACATTTTCCACTTTTTACCAGAACAATTTAACTCACTGTTTAAAGATGGGCCAGTTACTATCGACTTTCCGACAGATACTGAGCTAGCAGATGCATATCAACTGATCAATGACGCCGTTGATAAAGAGCTAGGATTTGGTTCTGATGAATACCCGAACCTGGAATATCTCCTGGATGCGATGACTCACGATTCAGTGCTACCATTTGTAGTAAAAGAGCCATTATCTAAGAAAGTTGTTGGATTCTTCTTTATAGCCCCTACTAGGTTTCACAGGGGAGTAAACCCTTTATATTGTGATATGAACATTGTGCTTCAATCGTCATACAGGACACTTGAGTATTTGAATGATTTACTGAACTCTGTCGTATGGAGGTTTGTGGAGATTCTTGGCTATGAGGGGTTCATAGGGGAGCACCTGACCAATGATGACGAGGGTCTGAGGAATCTGGTGAAATTACAGGGCTATGAAATACTTGGCAGACTACCTTGTGTGACCCAATTGAAGCATTCAGGGCCTGTTGATAGTGTCATCATCATGAGGAGATTTAACAAAGATGCAAAGCTTGTAAGTCATTTTGGCTGATTTTGAAGAAAAGATGAAAGAAAAGTTAAGAAGCAATTTAGAGCAGATACTTTTACATAAAAATAACAACTTTTGAATGTCAAGATTAAACAGCTCATACTCAAGAGTTCAAAAATACAAATCAATATGTGCTACAAATATTACTCAACAGCACAATGTGTTTTTACTTTTTCCAGTGCTCACAAACTGAGGTCAGACCCAGGATTGTTGTTCCAATTCCAGACATAACTGAGATCAGAGTAAACAATCAACCAAAGAAGGCAACACCAAGAACATGCATCCTTCAAGATGGACGTAAAATACTGGTTGATTATGCAAATCAAGATGAACTCCAAACAATATATGAACTCTTTGTCAAGGCTCAGAAAGAAGGGGATGGATATGCAATTGATGAATATCCAACATACAATCATTTCATATACAAGTTCAGGAAAGGTCATGTTTTCAGTATGAAGGTCATTGATGGCAAAATTGTTGGGTTTGTGTCTGTTATTCCCACTCAATTCAGTAGACGTGCAAATCCATCTCTTGCTGGTGGACCAATGTACATAACTCATGAAATCAGAGGAAAGGGTAATTTTCTTAGAATACTGTCAACCAATTTTCTTCTTGGGATAGAATGTGGATATAATGGCTCAATTGGAGATACATTTGTCATAAATAAGCCAGTTGTTCGTGTATCTGGAGGTAAGGATGGTTCCGATATTATTGCCACAATTCCAAGGTCAGCATACGTGGCAGGAGATGGTTGGGTGGATACATATGTCACTGGTGGCAAATTTTCAGATAAAAGGCTATTTAACAATGAAGGTTTTGCAATGATTAAAGATGTTATGGCTAAACTTTGACATGTGAATAAGGAATGATCAACCTCAATATCTTACAAAGGTTATAATTATTGCGGGGTAATAATGCTTTACAAGCCTTAGGGCCCTCAACAAATATGTAAATTGTACACAAGTTAAATATAAAAATAAACATCACATAGGATGATTCCAATCTATCCCAGGTATCAGAGAGGTACCAAAATAGCCAAATTCCACAACATAGATTTCAAATACGATGCACTCCAATCTTTACTGTTCCACAACTAGTTACTTTGACGGAACACCAATGTAACAAAATGGATGAACTTACTGGTTAAGAGTTTTTGGTTTTCTCGCTTTTGTTACATTATACGTAAGTTTCAATCGAGAAAACAAAAAACTTGTATCCAGGAAGTTCATCCATTTTGTTACATTGACGTTCTGTCAAAGTAACTAGTTGTGGAACAGTGAATCTTAATGTAACCCTGAGGAATAGTAGAACACTATATATGGCATATCTACATGGTAAGGTTACATACGTATATGGAAATCATCAGATGACATGGATCCATGGTCAGACAGACTGCTCTGATCTTTTTTCTGATTCTCCTTCTTAGCACGTCTACGATGGCCTTCAGAGGGCAGCACCATACGGAATGATCTCTCTTCGATTTCATCTTCCGTCATCGATTCATCAAACTGCATGCTGTAATCAGCATCTGAACCTGAAATTGAGAGATGTTTTGTAAATTATCCTGACAACCCAAACAAGGTATAAAGCATGACAAAATGTCACCACTACCAGACACTAAAAATGGCTGTAACAAAAATGTCACCACCTTGAAAAATGTTATCCCCTAATACTAGTCACTAAAAGTGGCTGTAACAAATGTCAGCACCTTGAAAAATGTTACCCCCTAATACTAGTGACAAAAAATGGCTGTAACAAAATGTCAGCACCTTGAAAAATGTTACCCCCTAATACCAATCACTAAAAATAGATGACAAAATGTCACCACCTTGAAAAATGTTACCCCCTAATACTAGTCACTAAAAATGGCTGTAACAAAATGTCACCACCTTGAAAATGTTACACCCTAGTACCAGTCACTAAAAATGGCTGTAACAAAATGTCACCACCTTGAAAAATGTTGCCCTCTAATACCAGTCGCTAAAAATGGCTGTAACAAAATGTCACCACCTTGAAAATGTTGCCTCCTAATACCAGTCACTAAAAATGGCTGTAACAAAATGTCACCACCTTGAAAAATGTAACCCCCTAATACCAGTCACTAAAAATGGCTGTAACAAAATGTCACCACCTTGAAAAATGTTACCCCCTAATACCAGTCACTAAAAATGGCTGTAACAAAATGTCACCACCTTGAAAAATGTTGCCCCCTAATACCAGTCACTAAAAATGGCTGTAACAAAATGTCACCACCTTGAAAAATGTTACCCCCTAATACCAGTCACTAAAAATGGCTGTAACAATATATCCCAACTACTTGTAGTTGTTGATGACATATTGGCCCAAACACTTATGTTTTTTACTGTTCGTTCACTGTTATTTCTACTGTAGGCATTTTCAAATTATTTTTTATGTTTGAATGTTACTATAAGATTGGTACCTTTATCGCTTGGAAGATCTTCCAGTATGCTTTCTGTAGGGTCTATAGCAGATATATCTAATCCAGTTAGAGTCTTTATACTGCTTGAATATCCAGTTTTACCAGGTTTCATATCTGTAGCAGTTCCAACACTTGCTGTTCCAACACTTGCTGTCCCGACACTTGCTGTTCCAACACTTGCTGTTCTAAAACTTGCTGTTGCTATACTTCCAGTATCTGTCTTAACAGATCCAATATCAGATTTTTGTGTCCTAGATATTGAGTAGCTTGATTTAGATTGTGAAAGACTGTCAAAACTATCTGTGGCATATGTGTTTGAGTGTGCTGAGTGGGATCTAGGGCCAGAATACTGGGAGTGTTGTGAATATTGGGTCCCTTGTTCTTTACCATCAGTGTTGAATCTCACCTAGAAAACAATGAGTTATATTACAGCAAATTAAAGGATGTGCAAAAATATAGCCAAAAGAGGGACCTGGTCAAAAAATCACATTTCTACATATGTATGTTACTATTTTTGGACAGTTCCACCACGATTACTTTTCTAATATTCTAACCTTGGCAATTATTTAGCTGGTAAATTTCTTATTAATACATTCAGATGATGATTAATATAAAATAAAAGGAAAAATAAAAAAATTCTACTGGAAACTATAATACACATGCTATTTTCCAATGTAAATTCTACATACGAAGTACTACAACGTCCCACCATATATTGAACCCCATACTGACCTGTCTATATAGGTCCAGCTGTGATTGCCTATGTGCCTCAAGAGCAGATGTTACAGCAGCTGTGGCAGCAGCTGTTGCTGTATCTGCAGCTAGTTTCCCAATGTCTCTCTGCTGCAAGGCGTCAACTTGTCTCAGACTAGAAACATTTGCCTGAAAAAAAACCACAATGTGTTAAAGTGGCCTCTGACTCGAAATTCAAAAACCACAATAAAAGCCATTAACCTTGCAGCCTCAACATACGTTGATACAAACTTATTTTTCTGTAAATGTCTAAGAATGAAAAATGTGTTTGCAATAAAACAGTTTTAATAAATTAACATGTATTTTCAATTATTTTACCTCGGCCAGTTGTTTTGCAGCCTCTGCTGTTGCCTTTGCAGCCTCAGCTTGAGAGGCTACCAGATGTTGGGTAGAATCCTGGAGCTTTGTAGCAGCCTCATTGCGAATCTGAATAACAGTAAGAACTCAATTCAAATCATTTACGCAATGTTCACTCATTAATAAAGGCTATCACATATTTTTTAGAATATCAAATGTTCAATGGTTCAAAAGGTGATTGCAGATCAAAATGAGATTTGTTTGCACATTGATGAGATTTATCCAGAATATTCCTTATAACCATTATCCCAAGTTGAGCTTTTATTGACGCATGAATGACTGTATAAAAAATACAGTCACACTTTCTTTCAAATTCTACAAATGTCTGCAATAAAACGCAATTTACCTGGGCAATTGCATTACTAGCTGACTGTGATACTTCAGCAGATCTTCTCTTGGATTCTTCCAGTTGTCTCATGGCATCAATGGACTCCTGTTGTGCCTTCTCTTTCAGCTTGGCTAGATCTTGTTCATGCTGCTGCTGGCGTGACTGAAATAGAACAGCAACTGAACTTTGAAATAAGTCTTCAAGAAACGTCTCTCCCATCCTATAGAGCACAAGGCAGTGATTTAATGGTTTACTTCCTATAGGCTAACATAATTAGTTTTTATAACTTGTAGGACTGATGCAATAGTGAGCAACAGTTAAATTCAATATATTTATATTAATGTTTGATTCTGTAAATCAACTTCCATAAAAGACCTAATCAATTTTGTTTTGACTTAACATCAACCCAACCTACTGACTCCACCCCCATCTAATGTACATAAGTCTTTTGATTAATAATGTCTTTACCAGCCCCCTTATATACTGACCTTTAAAACCTGTGCTAGGGCGACACTCTCCTGTTGTGCCCCAGCTGTTGATCTGACCCTCTCCATACTATTGATCTGTCGCATTGATTCCTCCATTCCTTCAAGGTAGTTCAGCTCAGACAGCATACGTCTCTCCAAAGAGTTTGGGGACATCCTCCCTGGGCCTGAGTAAGCCATGTTAGCCCTTGCATGCACTGACAGAGGATCTCGTCTTGGTCTGCTAATGTCCTCAGCTAAGCTGGAGATATCTGACTCAAAGGAGTCATCTTTGGATTGGGTACGTTTAGTATGAGCCAAAGAGCGGGTATGACTGGTAGGACTGGGGCTTGGTGATAATGTCTTCTCATGAACTTCACTGAAATATCAAAGTATTATATCTTTTTTCATTTACAAGTGTTATCCAACAAGAGTCGAACATAAGCACCAACCAGAGAAATAATTTGAAAATACTGTTTTGGAGCTCACTTTAATTTCTCTGATCCTATTATTATGATATCATAAAGAGGGAGAACATTTGTATTATGCAGTTCAAAGATTATAGATCATAAATTCATAATACAAAAATATGTACCCTGTTGAGACTAAAATAATGCATAAGAAGAAATATCAAAAATAGAATTATTTTTAAAATACTATTTCCTATCAGTATTCAACTCCAGTATAGAAAGTTTACCTGTCAATTGTAGATGACAAAGAAGCCTCTAATGTATCATCTAGGGGCAGATGCTTAGCCTCTTTCACAGGGCTAACTGCCATTCTCTCCAAACTTGCACTCGTCATGCCAGTAGAATAGACCTCTTTGGGGAGCCCTGAATAAGTCTGTCTTGCCTCTCCATCAATCCCTTCCATTAACTTTGACCTTTGACTGACCTCGGTTGTCCTTGACCTCTGACTAACTTCAGATGGTCTTGACCTCTGACTGGCCTCAGATGGCCTTGACATTTTTGAGTAATCATCAGTGATACTATGTAATGATGACGATCGTACAGGGTGAGGAGAGCTAATGGCAGGAACAGGAACTTTATACTTCTCAAATTCGTCTTTATAAGTGGGACTTTCAAGTGGTTTGGGTTCAGTTCCTGGTGATCTGTAGTTTTGTGGTTGCGACCCTGACCTTTGCTGGAGAGGTGACCTTGAGAGGATATCAGATTGATACGTGAGGGATGGAGATGCAGCAGGCTGAGTGGATGCTGTTTGTAATTCACCTGAAATATTTCACCAAAATAATATAACATCTTACATGTAGGTTACTTCAAAGCATATATAAAATAAGATTAAACTGTTTTCCACAAAAATATATGGAATATGAATCATATGAATTCTTTCAAGTTATATTTATACCGCTGTAACATGCTTTTTATGTTGCTCATACTGTCTCATTGTTTCAATCCTGAAATAGAATATAACACTTGCAGAATATATTAAACACATGAAATTATGAATCAATTTCTATCTACCCAAAACACTGAACATGAATACCATATGACAAGGGAATGCGATACCATATGACAAGGGAATGCGATACCATATGACAAGGGAATACAATACCATATGACAAGGGAATGCGATACCATATGACAAGGGAATGCGATACCATATGACAAGGGAATGCGATACCATATGACAAGGGAATACAATACCATATGACAAGGGAATACGATACCATATGACAAGGGAATGCGATACCATATGACAGGGGAATACAATTGGGATGTCAGTTGTCACAAAATTCTTGAATTGGTCAGACCATGAGACTAAAGCACTCTACTCACTTTGTTTCAATCTCCTGTTATAAATGTTGAAGACATTATACGGATCATGTCTCTCCTCTCCCCAGGCAAACTTCACATCATCTTCCTCGGAGTCCCCCTGTAGATCTCTATCTCTACTAGGCCTGTAGTCCCGTGACAGCCTGTTATCTGCTGTTGAGCTATATGGTCTATAGTCTGTGTTTCTTGAACCTTTGGATCTATAGTCTGTGCTTGTTGGACCTGTGGGTCGGTAGTCTCTATAATCTGTGCTTGTTGGATCTGTGAGTCTATAGTCTGCGCTTGTTTGACCTACTTCCCGTCTATGGTCTACACTAGATGACCTATAGTCTATTGCACTGGTTGCCCTGGTGTGTGACTTGTAGTCTGTACTATGTGGTAGACTAGTACCAGAGGTATGATGCCCTGTATTTGGGTATGTGGCTCTATGGAAGTCAGATTCCAAACCACTTCCAATCTGTAATGCAATTTCATTATTTATGAAAATAATTCATGGAAAAAAGACATCAACATATTGTATGACCAATGTCACAGCGTGGTTGCAATTGCAAAAGTGTAATCATCTGATAGACACCAAACGCATAACATAACAAGTTGCTACATTACCACTTCTTGGTTGCAACATAAAGTGTTCATGCAAAAACAATGCATTTAAAGTATTGCACACTACATCCGCAGAAAGAGGAGCATTTGTGATTTGTAGCTATATTCCCCTTCTTTGTTTGAAGTAAAATCAGCTTGTATAAGACTCCTTGGATTACTTGATAAACTACAAATACTAACCTTGGTGGGTAAAGGCTTATAACCACTGTAATCTGAGCTACCATCTGTAAGGAGAGACTCTGTATCATTGCTGTTGTTAATGTCTGCACGATTATCCTGATGCCGCCATGCTAGATTCTGGCGAACGGAGTGACCTCTATAGGCTGCCTGGATGGTGGTGGCTGCAGACTTTTCTACCCGCTCCCGGTTAATTCTCGAAGCTGCCTCAGTCAAGTTTTGTACACCTAATACAAATCAAAATGATTAAAATCAAGTTGGAAAGTATCAAATGAGAACTCAAGACACCTGGAAAATAAGTCTCAAATAGAACATGTTCTGCACTGATACTGTCCATCATTTTTACAATGCTACACAACATATTTGTATATCATGATTGTCTGATGTTAAAATAATCATTCAGATGTAAAGCGTAAACATTTGAATTTCTGTAGACATTTTTCCCTCTTTACACATGAGTCTTGATGCAATAAAAATTATTTCATTTAGATAAATATAAAATACCTGGTAGGTCTCTATCAAAGACAGTATAGTCATCTCTGTCACCTACAAGCCTATTGTGTCTGCTGACATACTCTGGGGGACTATCAGGCCCAGCAGCCTGGTCCATATCAAGCCTGGAGCCCCTGAAGTGAGTGATAGGATCAGCATCTTCAACAGGCTCCCTGTTCCACCTGTGTGGTTCTTCACGCTTATGGGGATAATTTTTACCTAAAAGAAGTAGAGTACACCTTAACGTTAAGAAAGTTCTATTTGAAATATACAGATTATTTTATTAATTTTTTGGTGTCTGGTCTCAATATTTTTATCAATTGTATAAAAGTAGGAGGCATTGTTTCTTCTACATATTTGTGTTGATAAAACTAATTAGATACAAATCTTTGCGATAGATTATATACTTATTACTTCCCCTGAAAAATTAATACTTAAAGAAAAAATCCAAGTGGCAGTATCTGTTCAAGATCAATAATAAATCTTTAAAGCTGAATATTTCAATGCAGAATGTGAATTAACATGTTAACACACCTGCAATGATAGGGGATTTCTCAAATTGTTTCAAACGATGTTGAAGCATTTTAGATGTATCTTTTAAAGCCTGGATTCGAGCCAGTTTACTTCTTCCCCCAAGTAAAGGCACATCTTTGATAATATCTGATGTTGGGATCTCCACCATCCCAGGAACTGGTACAATGTTTGGCTGTGAGGTGGCAGCACCATCTGCAGGTGTGGGACGAAGGTTTTCTGGTTGGTCAAGTAGACTACTAGCTGAAAGTTCAAATATATGCATAGCATATGAACTGAGAATTCCAGGACAACAAATGAATAAAGGTCAGACAACTGAAGGTTAAAGCCTACTGAATTATTGGTTTTTCAAAAGGTCTTATGTGTAATTATTTTTAATTGAGTGGAACTTTTTAGCAGGTTGCCTCAGTGCTAGAGATCACTTTATTGCTCAGGAGCTTGCTTATAAAGCAGTGACTTACCAGGAGGTTTAGCCTTGCCCCCTTTCACATCCATGGTCTTATACTGAGCAGATGATGCCCTATATTTGGCTAGTAGGTCATCAATGCCTAACTCATCTTCTGACGTATGAAATGAGCTGGTAGAAGTTGGTTCTGTCTCTATTGGTCTTGGGGTAGCGTCATCTCTGAAAAATATTTAGAGACATGGTACGTTAAAGCTAATAGTTTTGGTACCATCTGATGGTACTGAGAGTGAGATTCTCTGCTTTATGGTGGGTTACCTCCAATTCAATTTTTCTTTCAAGGTGAAATCATTTTCATTATCATTTTACAGGCATTAAATGATGGAGGTATCTTGTAATATAAGCTTACATTAAGAATAAACCTTGTAGTTTCGTGATGAAAATTGTGATTGTGTCTCATTAATGCCAATGGCCATAATGTAAAATCTTAAGT